TCGTTGTTTTTCGCCCAATTTTACCTACTAAAATTAAACAGATGAAGAAACTTTTAACCAAAACCATGGACTAAACCCTGTAGAAAACTGGCAATTATGCGACTTTCCTATATCGATGTTTTTGTCGGTCTAAAAAGACTAATTTTCTATCTAGATCGTAAGGAAACACTTATTTATCGGCTTTTTGTTAACGTAAATTCAAAGGATGTAGAAATATCAAATTTTTGACCTAAACTATGGACTGACTCCAAAATTTCTTTCCTAAAAGAATGTTTTTATTAAGTCTTAAAAAAGAACAATTGTCCGATTAAGAATGTCTCCAAAGAATTGTTCACGCCCTATTTTGCCTAAATTAAACGGATAAGGAAATCTCAAATTTTTGACCAAAACAATTGACTAACCCCTTTACAAAAAGACAAAATTTGCGCCTTTCCTAAATCGACAATTTTGTGGTTTAAAAACAGTTATTTTTATTATATCTTCACCAAAAACTTGTTCTCGGCCTATTTTATCTAAATAAAATAGATGAAATAATTTCAAATTGTTGACTAAAACAATGGTGATAACCCCTTTAGAAAAAGGAAAATTTTGCGACTTTCCTAAATGGTTGTTTTTATAGTCTAAAAAGAATTATAATTTTCTATCGAGATCGTCGAGAAACACTCATTATAGGCATATTTTACCTAAATTAAAGGGCCAAAGAAATTTCATATTTTTGACCAAAATCAAGGACTAACACCTTTGCAAAAATGTAAACTGATTTGGGACTATCCTAAATCGATGATTTTATAGTCTAAAAAGACTGGTTTTCTACCTAGCTAGTCACCGAACACTTTCTTGACCTATTTTGCCTAATTTAAAAGGATAATTAAAGGAAATTTTACATTTCTGACCAAAACCATGGCCTAGCCTATTGGGAAAAATTCAAATTTTGATACTCTCTAAATCTTCGATGTTTTCATAGTCTAAAAGACTTCTAATACTCCATCAAGATCGTCAACAAACAAATTTTCTGGGCCTATGTCACCTAATATAAAATGAATATAACAAAAAATTCAAATTTTTGAGTAAAACCATTGAGTAAACACTTTGAAAAAATGCCCGTTTTGCTACTTTGCTTAATTGATATTTTCATAGTGTAGGAAAAGATCAATTTTCTATCTAGGTCGTCACGAGACTCTTTTTCTCCGCCTGTTTTATTACATGGCCGGGGGCGATCCGATAAACGTTTTTTAGTCTTTGCAGAGCATTTTTAAGCAGTTTTCGCTGACAGTTAAAACCGTCTGTTTAAAATCTTGAAATCTTCTTACCCCTGCTATCAATTATTAAATCATACTTCCTTTGAAAGATAATTAATTTTTCTCCGTTAATTAATTTTTTCTTATTAATAATGATGTTATTTTGCCTTCAAGGAACAAGGCGACTAATCAGCGCTAGCACATCAAGCCATTTTTGAGACACAAAACTCTTACACGAATTTTGGACAATAACGAGATCTGATTTCGGCTTAAGAAACGCACAGATAATATGTTAATATCCTAACAGGCGAATAACTAGGTTTTTAAAATTAAAATGCAATGGCGTTTATACATTACCGTCTAAACACACAACAGACTGGTTATTGCACAAATACCGAGACAATTGGCAACTTAATTTGTTGTATGACTTCCATTAAGAGTTTGGCATTTTTATGCGCTTGCTATTAAGTAAGAAGAGTTTTTTTGGGGTGGGATATATGCATTAAGTAAATAATTCTTTAATCATTCTTAGGCATGAAAGAACATTGAAAAGAGTAGTAGAAACGTATCAGCCGATTTTACTCCATTTCCATGATGTCAGTAGCGTTCCGATATTTCTCATACATCTACACGACATGATATTTGATTCGATTTTCTTGTAGAAACCCTGTCGAACTTTAGCTTTTGTTGTATTGGTGTTAGAATTATACTCTCTACCTTTTTGCCATGCTTTGTATTCTTTTACAGCTAATTACTACATGATTTGATAACAAGACGGTTCTTCCGTTGTCGCCCGTCATTTTTAATTCCTTCTCGAACCTTCTCTAGATGGGCACGAAAGAGCGTTGAAAAGAGTAGAAGAAACCTATCGGCCGACTTTACTCCATTTTCAATGATGTCAGTTCTAGCGTTCCGATATTTCTCATACATCTACACGACATGATATTTGATTCGTTTTTCTTGCAGAAGCCCTGTCGAACTTTAGCTTTTGTTGTATTGGTGTTAGAATTTTACTCTCTACCATTTTCTCTATAATTTGTACGGTATTCTTTTACAACTAATTACTAAATGATTTGGTAACAAGCGGGTTCTTCCGTTGTCGCCCGCCATTTTTAATTCCTTGTCGAACCTTCTCTAGCTGGGCACCGCAGGGACCGAAATTTCTGCATGTAAACCCAACGTAAATTTGTCTCGCCTTCTATGATCTTCTTGGTACTAGGATCTTCCTCCTTCCATGTAATTAACAGCCTCTTAATTTAAACAGCAATTCTTCATCAAAAAGCAAACAAACAAAAAACAATAGCTCGAGGCATTTTACGTTAAAACTGATCTGTAGTGGTGTCTGTGGCTAGAATAGACCTTAACTAGCTTTCCTCTGAAACAGGAAGTAATATTAAAAGGACGGGTGGGTTTGTTAGCTTTGCTTTTGCTTTAGAAGAGTATTAATATATCCTACAGTTTACAAGCGAAACTTATGATCGTCACCAAACACATTTTCTGGGCCTGTCACGTAAAATGAAAATAATGAAAAAATTCAAATTTTTGAGGAAAACCATTGCCAATTTTGCGACTTTGCTTAGTTGACATTTTCATAGTGTAGATAAATACCAATTTTCTAAATTGCTAAAACCGACTGTTTGAAAATTTGAAATCTTCTTACCACCGTTATCAATTACTAAATCATGCATCCTTTGAAATATAATTAATTATTAATTAATTTTTTGTTATTAATGATTATGCTATTTTGCCTTCAAGGAACAAGGCGACTAATCAGCTCGCATATCAAACTATTTTTAAGGCAGGAAGGAAGCAAAAATCCTACCCGAATTCCGGACAATAACGAGATCTGAGTTAGTTTTTTTTTTTCAGCTTAAGAAATGCACATGCGCCTTCCATGTAATAAACAGCACCTTAATTACAACAGCAATTCTTCATTAAAAAGCAAACAAACAGAAAACAATGGCTCGAGGACGTTTTATGTTGAAACTGATTCGTGGTGGTGTCTGTGGCTAGAACAGACCTGAAATAGCTTTCCTCTGAAACAGGAAATAATACAAAAAGGACTGGTGGTTTTGTTAGCTTTGCTATTACTTTACAAGAGTATTAATTAATCCTCCAGTTTACAAGCGAAAACACACCCTTTTGTACTACTTGAGTTCTCACCACGGAAATGTTTTCTCCATTTTTTCGTTGGTTTCTTTTCTTCGTGTCATCTTTAAAGATACTTGAAGCACAATATGAACAAGGTTAGTTTGGTATTTTTTTTGTCTTCCTTTATTGTCACAAACAAAGCCAGTTAAAACCTAGCTTTAAAAGCCTCAAAATGACAGGAAAACTGAAAACATTTTTTAAATTTTAAGAGAATAGCAAAGTATAAAGAAAGATTTTTCATCATAGCAAGATTCAAATATTTTACTGGGAAGTATCCTCCAAGAATTAATTGAATTAAATGAAATGAATTGGTAGAACGTTGGTTATCTTTGTTTCCCAATTTGGTTTTTACGGAGCTTCCTCATCCTCTATACTTCTTGACACCCCAATTTAACCTTGTAGGTTCTACAAAAAACGAGTTTGAAGCGTATTTGAGCTTACTGTCTAGAAATTAAGAATTTAGAATTTAAAAGTATCCAAAGAAACGTTTATCCACAAAAAATGTGTAAAACTCTGCGGCAGGTGCAAAATTTCAGCTCTCCCAAGGTTCTAGTGGCAAGCGCAGAATAGTTAGTTCTGAAGAATTTGCCATTTATTTTAAACTTTGATGAGGTACCCGTCAGTTAAATTCTTATTTGAAATTTTTTGCACAAAGTTGACGGATTTGTTGCGTGAATTTTTGGCCGTTTTCGTAGAATCAAAAGAATTTGTTTTCACTTTTAATATGATAGAATGGCAGGCAACGCACCACCCAGATCTTCGTCAAGATGTTTTTGTAAGAGACGAATACCACTTTCTAAACGTCCCTGGAATTGGAACGATTACGGTGTACGACACCTTTGACTGCACCTTTGAATGCCTCAGCAATCCTTCATGTTTGTCTCTGAACCTGGCCGTCTCCAATGGAGCCGATGGAAAAATTTGGTGCGAATTGTTGACTTCGAATAAAGACATCAGCCCAGACGAGTTCAAAGAAAACAAGACTTCGCATCACTTTGCCTTGAAGGTGCGAACATAGCCTAAATTATTAATTATCCTGTAGTGTCAAGATGAAAAACCTAAGCTGATTATGGATCTCAGAGAGATCTAAGAGAAAACTGTAAAGCCTCATTTAGTAAAAAAAGTGAAAGTTAAATTTACAGGCAATTTCAGTGGAATAAAGTATTCTAGACAGATGACTTTTTTTGTATCTCCATGGGCAGACGATAATAAACTACCAACGGTATTTTCAGAAAGGCAAACATCAATAAACCGCTCATCTCTTAAAAGAGATGAATCAAGGAGATGAGTCTTAGATTGAAGTAGTCTTCTCCGCAGCTTAAGCGTTGTGTGACGAGACAAAACGGCTGTGAGGGAGACTATAGATTGGTGAACTGGTAGGACAGAAAAGAGCAGAGATTAAAGTTCCCACTAGTGGAAATTGGTGCAAACAAAATGCATAGTCGCCTGTTTTGTTTCTTCCAGGGTAGATTCCGTCCGACATCCTGCGTCGAATATGGACAGCAAGGTGCCTACAAAGATGGCATTTATAAGATCTATGATAACGACGGAAACAGTTTCCCAGCCTTCTGTGATCTAAAATCAGAGCCCAGTATTGCATGGACTCTGGTCATGTCGTGGAGTAAAGAAAATCGTTTTATTTCTGCTTTTTGCAGTACCCCATTTCAGTCCAATGCCCCGGAAAACGAGAACTCCCCGAACTGGGATCGTTACCGCTTAAGTCTGGAGCGAATGAGATCACTGCAGGTTCACTCCACCCACTGGCGATCAACATGCAGCTATCCGACTCATAGCATCGATTTCACAGACTACCTCCGCGGCAACTTCAAAGACTTCAACATCCTCGATTTCCCTAGTAATGGCGAGTGTAAGAAGGTAGAATATGTGGATATCCGGGGGCACAATGGCACGAACCTTACAGCACCGTTTTGGGCGAGCTCCTGGACGGGTTTGCATACTGACAGCTCTATCGATTTCTGCGAGCTAAATGCAACTGTTGGAGCGGTATGGAGTGAAGACAACTTTGGCCTCTATAACAACATAAATCCCAAGTTCCGCTGCACACAGGAAGACAGCTCTACTACTCAGTGGTGGTTTGGAGCTCATCTTAAAAAATAGTTTCTGGAAAATGAGATTACACAGCTCCCATGTCAGAACTAAGGGGGCCTGCAAATTGTACCACCCTTATAAACAGACGAAATGCATTCAGTATTAGTTTAGAAGATTTAAATTGTTGAAGATGTACACTCTTAAGATTAGAAAAGCTTCTTTTTCGTTGATAAGCAGTGATTTTGTAGTTAAATGCAGCATTTTTCATCGCTTGATTGACCTCTCTGTGTATAATTGTTAGAGAATTGTTTTTGGTTTTCATCACTTGACGCATCATCGAATATTAACGGTTAAACATTTGTCACTAAAATGGGGTCAAAACGACAGGTTTTTCTAATAATTTTTGAAAACTGCTGGGGTGGCTCTGAAAAGGTTCGCCTTGTATGCGTGTGAAATAGGAATGGGTAATTAAGAGGAAAATGGTCACCTTTTAAAGCAGCTTATTGAGCTTTTTCTATCTTATAAGGGAAGTTTACAGGTACGGTGGAGCGCAATTTCAACTCGGGGGGGCGCTTGAAAACTCGCGCCGGAGACGCGAGTTTGTTGGGGGGGGGAGGGGGGTCTGGGGCATCCTCTCCCAGAAACTTTTGAAATCTAGAAGTTCGGAAATGGTATTATCAACATTCTCAATGAGATATTTCTAAAAGAAAAACTCAACCTGGATAAGGTGTTAAACAAAAAAATTTTCCTTTACAAAAGTCAAGGGTCGTATTACCTGCTACCCTTTGGCCTAGCTGTGCCAGCTTCGCTTTGCTCCCGCTTTGCCGTTAATCATTCATTTCCCAAACCTTAATGTAAAAGAGCATTAATATGTTAAATAGATTACAATTGCCTGACTGATTAAAAAATAAAAGTGTAAACGATGACTAGTTATAAGGTAAAAACCAACTGTAAGAGTAAAAACTGATAATTGTAACCGTTGTGAAACTGTATGGAGATTAAGAACTGTGAGAAGAAAGGCAAATTACAAGATTACATGCAGAACTACAGCCCGCATCACCGTGGCACAAGTGAGGCCCACAAGTTTACTAGCTTTCAGCTATTTAGTGTTTTACTAAATAAAGTGTTTACTTGCTCACTTCACATACCTAGTTTGCCAATTTGAATCCCTTTTAACTACTGTTTGTGCACTATGTTTTAAGTACTGTTCAAAAAACGAGCGGGATTGTATTATCAGGTTTACTAAAAATAGATACTTAAATAATTTTGGTCTAAAACTTAGACTTAAATTTTAGCTTTGTCTTTATCTATATAAAAACACTCATTAAACATTGATTTCTGTCTTTTTCTTTATGAACTATTAAGTAAATGAGTTTTTGAGATAATGAAGACAACCAAAAAGGGAAATTTTCTCGACATTTTAACAGCCATAAAACCTTTTGTCAACCTTTTTGGACCCTTTTACAGACCGATATGACAGATTTTCCTACCCTTTTATATACTTCAACGAGTGAAATCCCTACTCTTTCATATTACTTTTATATAACCATCTCGGGCGGAACCTCCCCGTGTAGGCCATTATTGAAGGTACTCCACCGGGTTTAGTGCCCTTTCTTAGGTCATTTATACTTAACGGGAATGGGGAACTTTAAAAAAAGGCACACAACAGAGCAGTAAGCAAGATGGCTCAAAGTTACGGGTCCAAGCTATTATTATTCTGGAATAACATTTCTAGGGTAAATTAAGTAGACACTGAACTGTCTCCTTGCCTTACCTCTTTAATCCCTTGTGTTCACATATAAATTCTCCACATATTTCGTGAAAGCATTAGTAGAGAAAATTTGATAAAACATCAAAGCGCTTTCTCTGTTGCATGTGATCATTTTATAAATTCTCATAAAATTTTCTCTTGACGGTGCATGAGTGATTTCGGGAGAAAATCGATTTGGTCAGTCTTGGCATATACCAATAACTGTTTTAATCGTCTCACTCATACATCACATTGTGGCCGGATTATTAACTTTTTAATCTGTTGTTTAAATTCTTTTGTACTTTCATTAAAATGAACGAAAGTTCTTTGGCAGAACGTTTGAGAGGGATTATTTAGTTTTAACTATTTTACAAGACGAAATTGTATTTCTTTGATGTGATTTCTTTTACTTTCACCGGTAAAAAGAACTGAAAAAGGGGTAATATCTATTCAATTTAGCCAACGAGCAGGCTGTCGAGTTGGGATTTCGTGCTACATTCTTTCGGTGTTGCTCATGCGAGATTTTACAACCCTGCAGGGGTGGGTTGAGAGGGTACACTATAAGAACCTCCACGACCTAAACAAGCGTTGAGTATTGGCAACAGAGGATAAAGGAAGACCCTCGATTGTAAAGAGGATTTTACATTTTGAATTTGATTACTGAATGGAGCTTAAAATGTTTACATTCCGAAACAGTCGACGACAGTAGGTGTTTGAGAAAACGGAAACTAAGATCGGAGCTAAAAACCCACTCATCTTGCATTAATTTTTAGGACGCGCATTAAACTCTTATATATTTTCACATTGTTTTCTTTATGAATTATTTGAGACTTTTTTGAAACATCTTTTAGTGCTATAGGTATTCGCAAAAATAGCCCAAAACATTTCGATAAATTAGAAATTTGTTAAAATTCATTCTTGGCTCTGAGCCTTGGATAACAAAAGAATTCATCTTACATAATCACCTTATATAATACATTTCTTTTGTTTTATTTCTCCAATCCTCGAAGCCAAGAGTAAATTTAAATTTATCTAAATTGGTGTATTATGTTTTGAAGATTAAAAAGTACAAAACCTTAATTCTAGTCGAAGACCTTATACCAGCTAAATTAGCCTGCGATCGATCAAAGAAATTTTATCGTTGCTTTTCTATGAACTACCTTGAAAAAAAAAAAATTTACAAATTTGTACATTATGTGCAACATCAACCGCAAGTAAGAAGTAATTTAGTCCTGTTTTTCCTTGCCAAGTCGCTAGGCCTAATCAGTATTCCGCGCGGTCTATGCGTTTCGGATCACGTAATTAGAGAGAGTTTCGCCTCGGATAAGTCACCAAAATGCACACTGAATGCATTGGACGAGAAGGCCTGGGAAGATGCGCGGTTGGGAATGGGGCGACTGCGGGCTCTTCACTGGAAGAAACGCCCAGCAAATGACATTCTCCAGTAATGTACAAAACGAACATTTTTGTTACCCACAGCAACGCATTTAACCCGAGACAACCCTAAAGACTTTCTACCATATCCAGGAGAAAATGCGTCAAAAAGTAAAAACTACACACAGCATTTATGTCATTGTTTCTCCGAAGTTCCAGATGTTTAGCACGCACTTGTTATTTTCCTTTTTCTATATTCTGCATCTGCATTAATCCTTTGATAATCAGTAAGAAATACTGTCATGAGGTAGGCTAGGTAAAGAGCTAATTTCGTTCACTTCGTTTACTTCTAAATACTAATGGCTTTCCGCTTTTTTGCTCAAGATCTTCTCTTTTGTATTGTTTGTGCCGCCATATTTATACACTGTCTTTGTGCTCCCCTGTATAGCTATACTGCTCGATGAGTTCAGTTCAACGTTTTTTCTTTCATAATACTAAAATAAGAGTATACGTTTCCTGCTTCCGTTACTGATTTGGACTTTGACGCTTGAAAGCAAAGCTTAACCTTTTCGTTTATATTCTTCTCGGTGGGCACAGACTCTGTCATTGGTCAAAGTAGCTCGTGTTTTTTTTCTTTTGCATGTTTAAGCCACCCACTTGATACATAGGCGTCCCGAGCATCAGGATAATTCTCCGCCATTGCTCAGAATAAAAAGGTATTTTTTTTACCATTTCGCTACGCGTGACGCGTTTCGAAGATAGGTACGTGGTGGACGAAATAATGTTAATTGTTGGTGGCCTCTGTCCTATCATCCTTCTAGACATCAGGTTCGTAGCTTAACATCTTTAAAGAGGACACAGAGTACACACTTTTACCTCATACTCTTTTTGTGCTGCCCGTCTTGCATTGAACATTTTTCGTCTTTATTTACATCAAGAGTTCTACGAATAAACCATTGCAAACAAGTACTGTACCCGGAATATCATGGAGTGCTTTTCGTAATTTGTGTACACAAATCAACATTAATTTGAGTGTCTCAATTGCGACATACAAGTCAACAGCTGTTTTTTAAATTTCTGGAGTATTGTTTAATTTCTTGAATATGACAGCAAGATTTTTTCACGCCCCAGCCTCGGCGGGTAACTGCCACTAACGTATAGTCATTTCATGTCTTTCTCGTTTTTTGGGCTGAAACAGAAAGATGAAAACTAAACTTAAAGAGGCGTTACACTCTTTTTTCATATAAGCCGAATGTTGTTTTCTGGCTCATGCTGAATACGCCCTATTTTGCCTAAATTAAAGGGATAAGAAAATCTCAAATTTTTGACCAAAACAATTGACTAACCCCTTTACAAAAAGACCAAAACTTGCGGTTTCCTAAATCGACAATTTTGTAGTTTAAAAACAGTAATTTTTATTATATCTTCACCAAAAACCTGTTCTCGGCCTATTTTATCTAAATAAAATAGATGAAATAATTTCAAATTGTTGACTTAAACAATGGTGATAACCGTTTTTGAAAAAGGAAGATTTTGCAACTTTCCTAAATGGTTATTTTTATACTTTAAAAAGGATTATAATTTTCTATCGAGATCGTCGCGAAACACTTAATATAGGCATATTTTACCTAAATTAAAGAGACAAAGATATTTCATATTTTTGACCGAAACCAAGGACTAACACCTTTGCAAAAATGTAAACTGATTTGGGACTATCCTAAATCGATGATTTTATAGTCTAAAAAGACTGATTTTCTATCTAACTAGTCACCAAACACTTTATTGACCTATTTTGCCTAATTTAAAAGGATAATTAAAGGAAATTTTACATTTCTGACCAAAACCATGGCCTAGCCTATTGGGAAAAATGCAAATTTTGATACTCTCTAAATCTTCGATGTTTTCATGTTTTTAATATTCCATCAAGATCGTCAACAAACAAATTTTTTAGGCCTATGTCACCTAATATAAAATGAATATAACGAAAAAATTCAAACTTTTGAGGAAAAGCATTGAGTAAACACTTTGAAAAGATGCCAGTTTTGCTACTTTGCTTATTAATTTTCTATCTAGGCCGTCAAGAAACACTTTTTGTCCGCCTGTTTTATTACATGGCTGGGGGCGTTTTTTTAGCTAAAACCGACTGTTTAAAATCTTGAAATATTCTTTCCACTGCTATCAATTATTAAATCATGCTTCCTTTGAAATATAATTAATTTTTCTCCGTTAATTAATTTTTTCTTATTAATGATGATGTTTTGCCTTCAAGGAACAAGGCGACTAATCAGCGCTCGCACATCAAGCCATTTTTGAGACACAAAACTCTTACACGAATTTTAGACATTAATGAGATCTGAGTTCTTCTTCTTCTTTTTTTTTTTTCAGCTTAAGAAACGCACAGATAATAGGCGAATAACTAGGTTTTTTAAATTAAAATGCAATGGCGTTTATACATTACCGTCTAAACACACAACAGACTGGTTATTACACAAATACCGAGACAATTGACAACTAAATTTGTTGTTAGTATGACTTCCCGTAAGAGTTCGGCATTTTTATGCGCTTGCTATTAAGCGGTGAGAAGAGATTTTTTGGGGTGGGGTATATGCATTAAGTAAAAAATTCTTTAATTATTCCTAGGCATGAAAGAAAGTTAAAAAGAGTAGTAGAAACCTATCGACCGACTTTACTCCATTTTCAATTAATGATGTCAGTACTAGCGTTCCGATATTTCTCAGACACCTACACGACATGATAATTGATTCGATTTTCTTGTAGAACTCCTGTCGAACTTTAGCTTTTATTGTATTGTGTTAGAATTATACTCTCTACCTTCTTTCAGTCTTTGCTATGCTTTGTATTCTTTTACAGCTAATTCTGACGACATGATTTGGTAACAAGCAGGTTCTTCCGTTGTCGCCCGTCATTTTTAATTCCTTGTTGAACCATCTCTAGCTGGGCACCGCACGGACCGAACTTTCTGCATGTAAACCCAACGTAAATTTGTTTCTCTTCGCTTTCTAGGATCTTCCTGGTTCCAGGATCTTCCTCCTTCCATGTAATTAACAGCCCCTTAATTTAAACAGCAATTCTTCAGCAAAAAGCAAACAAACAAAAAACAATGGCTCGAGGACATTTTATGTTGAAACTGATCCGATAGTGGTGTCTCCGTGGCTAGAATAGACCTTAACTGGCTTTCATCTGAAACAGGAAATAATACAAAAAGGACTGGTGATTTTGTTAGCTTTGCTATTGCTTTACAAGAATTTAGAGTATAAATATATCCTACAGTTTACAAGCGAAAACTCAAGATCGTCACCAAGCACATTTTTTGGTCTGTCACCTAAAATGAAAGTAATGAGGAAAACCATTGAGTAAACCCTGTGAAAAAATGCCAGTTTTGCGACTTTGCTTAGTTGACATTTTTATAGTGTAGATAAAGACCAATTTTCTATCTAGATCGTCACGGAACACTTTTTCTCCGCCTCTTTTATTACATGGGGCGATCCGTTAAACGTTTTTGGGTCTGCTGTTTTCGCTGATACAGCTAAAACCGACAGTTTAAAAATTTAAAATCTTTTTACACTGCCATCAATTAGTGTATCCTTTGAAATATAATTAATTGTTGTCCGTTAATTAATTTTTTCTTATTAATGATTATGTTATTTTGCCTTCATTTTCAAGACAGGAAGGAAGCAAAAATCCTACCCGAATTTCGGACAATAACGAGATCTGAGTTAGTCTCTTTTTTTTAGCTTAAGAAATGCACACATAACATAGCATCCTAACAGGTGAATAACTAGGTTGTTTATATTAAAATGCATTGACGTTTATACATTACTGTTTAAACACATAGCGATTGGTTATGACAAAAATACCGAGAAAATTGGCAACTTAATTTGATGTATGACTTCCTGAAGGAGTTAGTCATTTTTATGTGGTTGCTATTTAAAGTAAGAAGAGATTTGTGGGGGTGGGGTATATGCATTTATTTATTAGTGATTAGAAAGAAAATCGACAAGAGTAGTAGAAACCTTTCAGCCAACTTTATACCTTTTTCAATGATGTAGCGTTCAAAAATTATTTGTCAAATATCTATACGACTCGATATTGGATTCGATTTTCTCGTAGAAGCCCTGACGAACTTTAACTTTTGTTCTATTGGTTAAAATTATACTCTCTACCTTTTTGCTATGTTTTGTATTCTAGAACAACTTATTACTACATGATTTGGTAGCAAGCTAAATAAGCAGGTTGCTGTGTTATGTTCGAGCATGATTAATATACATTCTGTGATCCAGAAGTAAAAAAAAAAAAGAGCAAGAAGACATTTTCTGTTCAAAATGACCTTAGGATTGCTGAAATTGGCTAGGATAGACTTTATATCGAGGCATATTTTTCATTTAAAATTAAATGTGATCCAATTACGAAAGGAAAGATTTGTTGAAACATGCACAACCATGAGCTTATTCGCCAGAACCAAGAATTTATTTGCCCGCATTGTGACGAGGTTTAATTGAAAATTATCAAATTTAGGGGCTGTTTACGTGGAGGGAGGAAGATTCTAGCGCCAGGAAGGTCCTAGAAGGCGGATCATCCTTGCGCCATTTGTTTTCTGTATTCTATTCACACACAAATAGCTGTTCTTGTCGCTAGTGCTAGGATCTCCCTAGATAAGAGTTAGGGAGATCCTTGTAGTAGGAAGATCCTAGCACGATGTAAACTGCCTTCGCTAGCCAAATCATAGTACTAGGGACAAACCAGACAAAAATGGCGGTGGGTTGTCAGTGGGTAATTACGGCAATAATGGCCGACTATTTTGTTTGGCGTTAACCCGAGTTGATAGTTGTGATAATTCTGCTTAAAGATAGTTTATCTACCCCAGTAAAGAGAGCGCAAGAGCCCAAATTGCATTTTTGATTTTGTCGTCCTCCAACTGAAATTTCTGCTCGTAAACCCAACGTAAATTTGTTTCGCCTTCTAGGATCTTCCTCCTTCCATGTAAACAGCCCCTTAATTAGAACAGCAATTCTTCATGGGAAAGCAAACAACAACAAAAAAAATTGGCTTGAGGACATTTTTTGTTGAAACTAATCTCTAGCGGTGTTTAACTATAATAGTTTTCATCTGAAACAGGAAATGATATTAAAAGGACTGGTGGTTTTGTTAGCATTGCTATTGCTTCACAAGAGTATTAATATATCCTACAGTTTACAAGCGAAAACTCACCCTTTTGGAACACCTGAGTTCTCATCACGGAAATGTTTTCTCCATTTTTTCGTTGGTTTCTTTTTTTCCTGTTGTCTTCAAAGATACTTGAAGCACTTTATGAACAAGGTTAGTTTGATATTTTTTTCTTTTTTTATTTTCATAAAAAACCCAGCTTTAAAAGCCTTAGAATTACAGGATACATTATAATTTTTAGAGAATAGCAAAGTGCAAAGAAAGATTTTTGATTGGAAAAAGATTCGAATATTTTATTGAGAAGTATCTTCCAGAAATTGAATAAATGAATTGAATTCAATGAATTTTTAGAACGTTTGTTTCCTGATTTGCTTTTTTCAGAGCTTCGATCCTCACCATCCATACTTCATCACACCTCAATTCAGCCTTGGAGGTTTCTACAAAAAACGAGTTTGAAGCCTATTTGAGCTTACTGTCTAGAAATTGAAAAAGAAAAGTATCAAAAAACATTTATCAACATGCGTAAAACTCCGCGGCAGGTGCAAAATTTTAGCATTCTAAGATTCTAGTGGCAAGCGTAGAATAGTTAGTTTTGAAGAATTTGCACAATTATTTAAAGTCTGAAGAGGTACCAGTCAGTTAAATTCTTATTTGAATTTTTTGGCTCAAAGTTGTTCGATTTTATCGTGAATTTTTGGCCGTTTTTCATAGAATAAAAATTTTAAAATTGTTTTCATTTTTATTTTGATAGAATCGCAGGCAACGCACCACCCAGATCTTCGTCAAGATGTTTTTGTAAAAGACGAATACCACTTTTTAAACGTCCCTGGAATTAGAACGATTACAGTGTACGACGCCTTTGACTGCACCTTTGAATGTCTCAATAATCCTTCATGTTTTTCTCTGAACCTGGCCGCCTCCAAAAGAGCCGATGGAACACTTTGGTGCGAATTGTTGACTTCGAATAAATACATCAACCCAGACGAGTACCATGAAAACAAGACTTCACATCACTTCACATACTGCTACGTTAATAGATAATATTTTTGCGAACAACTTTTTTGAACGTTCGAGAAGCGGCTTATTATTTACTGACATTTCAGATCATCTACCCGTCTTCTCAATTCATTCAGATAACGTTAACACGTCGGTAAATCGATGTCGACAAGACCCCTTCTTTATTAGAGATAAGAATCCGAATAATATTCCTACTTTTGTTGAAAAACTAGAAGCTGTTGATTGGTCTTCGATTAAAACTTGTGATGAGCCAGATATTGCGTACAAACGCTTTCATGAAATGTATACAAAGATTTATAACGATTGCTTCCCTCTCAAGAAGGCGACTAGAAAGCAGAGGCGCTTTAAAAAACCGTGGTTAACGAAAGCTCTTCTTAAATCAATTAAAACAAAGAATAAACTTTACAAAAAATATCTTCAAGTTCCAACAGTCGACAATTGTTCACTCTACAAAAGATACAAGAACAAATTGAATCACACCTTGCGTTTGGCTAAGCGTCGGTATTATGAAAAGAAATTGGAAGATGCTAAATCAAATACACACGCGACCTGGAAAATTTTAAACGAAGTCTTAAATAGAAAAAAGTCGAGGCCTCAATTAAATACAATATTTAAATCAGACGGTCAGGAGATTTCTGATCCAGTGGAAGTAGCAGATAGGTTTTGCAGCTACTTCTCTAGTATTGGTCCCAACCTCGCTAAGAAGATACAGCCTCCTCCTTGTTCACATAAAGATTTTCTATCTGGATCATTTCGAGAATCAATCTTTTTTAGCCCAACAACAGAGGATGAAATTATTACCATTGCTCAATCTTTTGCTTCCGGGAAAGCGGCTGGATATGATAATATTCCAATGTCTATAATTAAGGAATCCATTCAAATCATTTCGGGACCTCTGGCTCACATTATGAATTTATCGATCGCTCATGGCGTTGTACCAGATCAAATGAAAATAGCTCGTGTGGTACCACTGTTTAAAGCTGATGACCAGTCACTATTCACTAACTATAGGCCTGTCTCGGTTCTACCAAGCTTTTCAAAATTTCTAGAGAGAATCATCTATAATCGTTTGTATGATTATTTCACTAATTTACATATTCTCTGTGATAACCAGTTCGGCTTCAGGAAAAACCACTCTACGACGCTTGCCTTGATTGATTTGCATGAAAAAATTTCATCTGCTATTGATCGTGGTGAATTAGCGGTTGGTGTCTTTTTAGATCTCTCGAAAGCTTTCGATACAGTCAATCATTCCATCTTATTTGATAAACTTGAACACTATGGTATACGTGGCTTGGCTCTGAAATGGATTAAGAACTATTTTTCCAACAGACTTCAATTTGTAGAATACAATGGTTATGTTTCGTATCGTGCTAATATCATGTGTGGCGTTCCCCAAGGTTCAATACTAGGGCCTTTGTTTTTTCTACTCTACATCAACGATATAATCAACACGTCAACAATATTACAACTGATATTATTTGCCGATGATACAAACGTATTTGTGTCTCACAAGGATAAAGACTGCCTCACTAATATACTGAATGCTGAACTAAATAAGTTGTCAATATGGTTTAGAGCTAACAGGCTTTCATTAAACTTGAAAAAAACCAAATTCATTGCATTTAAACCATCCCAAAAGCGTACAAATCAAACTATTCAACTTTTAATTAATAGTCAAAAAATTGATCAAGTAAAAGAAACAGTTTTCCTGGGAGTAATCATGGATGAAAATTTAAATTGGAAATCTGAAATCTCACATGTCGCCAATAAAGTTTCTAAATGCACAGGAATTATTCGTAAATCCAGTTTCTATTTATCCACGAAAACCTTACGAACACTATATTTTTCTCTAGTCTATCCATACCTTTTTTACTGCAACTTAGTTTGGGCCTCTACTTACAGAACTAACCTTATTCGTCTTGAGATTTTACAGAAACGAGTGATCAGAACTATAGCTAAAACCACTTTCGATGCACATACTGATCCAATCTTTCAAAATCTTGGTATCTTAAAATTTCATGATATATACTTAATACAACTAGGCTTATTCATGTACTCCTATCAAAACCATACTCTACCTTTACAATTTCATTGTAAATTTACCTTACAAAGTCAAATTCATTCGTATAATACAAGAAACTCGTGTAAATTTCGTCTGCCTTTCTGTCGTACTCGAACCAAGCAATTTTCCGTTTTTTATCAAGGACCTAAATTTTACAACACCTTAAACACCAACATCATCAACGCTTCCTCACCTTTCTCCTTTAAAAGAGCACTTAAGGCATTTATTTGTAATAATTATTAGTATACTTCAACAAAAATCTTGGGAAAAAGCCTTTTAATATTCAACATTTGTACATGTAAACTTCCGTAACATTGATTAGTTTAATTTTTTACCTGATATTATATTGTACCCGTCGCCGTAATTTTTATGCCATCTTTGAAAAATTGTAATTGAGGAGGCCTAATTAACATAAGCTTTATAGTTTCTTTTAGGCCTCCTCGCCATCTCTTCCTATATATATATCTTTTTTCTTTTGGCATCTTTAAGTAATTATTGTAATTGTGTGGCAAATAAATAAAATACCTAAAAATACCTAAAGGTGCGAATTGAGTTTTAACTAAACGCGTTATTTTTATTAACAATCCTGTTGTCCCAGATAAAAATCTCGAGTATGTGAAGGCTATGGAGGCGGAAAGAACCTAAGAGCTCAAAGAGGTTAAATCCAGCCGGCAGTTGGTTTTGTTTTGTTTGTTTTGTTTTTTTTTCTAAGGCATTATGATGATAAATTTGAAGGCAATTCTTGTATTTTCATCTAGTGGTATAAAGTGGGCAGTGATGTATTTTGTTTCTCCAGAGGCAGACGATAAACGACTTTATAAACTTTCCTTATAAGGCAAAGGTTTTTCAGTTTATCCACTACTCATCTCGGAGAGAGATGAGTCTTATTCGGGAACCGGACGGTATGTACATTAATTAAAAGTTCCCACTGGTGTGAGTTGATGCAAACAAAATGAAAAGTCGCCTGTTTTGTCTCTTCCAGGGTAGATTCCGTCCGACATCCTCCGTCGAATATGGACAGCAAGGTGCCTACAAAGATGGCATTTATAAGATCTATGATAACGACGGAAACAGTTTTCCAGCCTACTGTGATCTAAAATCCGAGCCCGGTATTGCATGGACTCTGGTCATGTCTTGGAGCAGAAAGAATCGCCTTCTTCCTGCTTTTGGAAAAGCCGTTCTTCAGATCAATGCCCCAGAAAACGAGATCTCCCCGAACTGGGATCGTTACCGCTTACGTCTGGAGCGAATGAGATCTTTGCAGGTTCACTCCACTCACTGGCGAGCAACATGCTGCTACCCGACCCACGGTATTGATTACAGAGACTACCTCCGTGGAAACTTCAAAGGCTTCAACATCGTCGATTTCCTTGGTAATAGCAAGTGTAACAGGGTAGAATATGTGGATATCCGAGGGCACAAGGGCACGAACCTCAACGTACCGTTTTGGCAGAAAAAGAACGCTTGGATGGTGCATATTGTCAGCAGTTCAGATCGCTGCAAGTTCAGCGCATCCATTGGAGCGGTTGGCAGTGAGGACAACTTTGGCTTTTATGGTCAAATTAATCAAAAGTTCCGCTGCACACAGGCAGTCCACTCTACTGCTCAGTGGTGGTTTGGAGCTCATCTTAAAAAATTGTTCCCGGAATATTAGATCACACAGCTCGCATGTCAGAACTAAGGGGGCCTGCAAATTGTACCACCCTTAATTATAAACAAACGAAATGCATTCAGTATTAGTTTAGAAGATTTAAATTGTTGAAGATGTACACTCTTAAGATTAGAAACTCTTCTTTTTCGTTGATAAGCAGTGATTTTATAGTTAAATGCAGCATTTTTCATTGCTTGATTGACCTCTCTGTGTATAATCATGTTAGGGAGTTTTTTTTGGTTTTCTTCACTTGACTCATCATCGAATATTAACGGTTAAACATTTCTCACTAAAATGGGGTCCAAATGGCAGGTTTTTCTAATACTTTTTGAAAAACTCCTGGGGTGGCTCTGAATAGGTTCGCCTTGTATTAGTGCGTGAAATAGGAATGGGTAATTAAACGGAAAATGGTCACCTTTTAAAACAGCTTATTGAGCTTTTTCTATCTTATAAAGGAAATTTACACAAAACTAAATGTACGGTCCTATTTGCAGTAGACAAGAGACCTTTATCTCATTTATCCACAGGTACGGCGGAGCGCACTTTCAACTCGGGGAAGGGGTTGAAACCTAGCGACAGAGACGCGAGTTTGTTGGGGGGGAGGGTCTGGGGGCATCCTCTCCCAGAGACGTTTGAAATCTAGAAGTTCGGAAATGGTATTATCAACATTCTCAATGAGATATTTCTAAAAGAAAAACTCAACCTGGATAAGGTGTTAAACAAAAACATTTTTCCTCCTCAAAATTCGAGGGTCTTATTACCTGCTACCCTTTGGCCAAGCTGTGCCAGCTTCGCTTTGCTCCCGCTTTGCCGTTAATCATTCATTTCCCAAACCTTAATACAACAGAGCATTAATATGTTATTAACAATTGCCTGACTGATTAAAAAATAAAAGTGTAAACGATGACCTAGTTATAAGGTAAAAACCAACTGTAAGAGTAAAAACTGATAATTGTAACCGTTGTGAAATTATGGAGATTAAGAACTGACTGTGAGGAGAAAGGCAAATTACAAGATTACATGCAGAACTACAGCCCGCATTACCGTGGCACTAGTGAGGCCCACAAGTTTATTAGCTTTTAGCTATTTAGTGTTTTGCAAAATAAAGTGTTTACTTGCTCACTTTACACACCTAGTTTAGCAATTTGAATCCCTTTTACCTACTGTTTGTGCACTATCTTTTAAGTACTGTTCAAAAAACGAGCAAGAGTGTATTATCAGGTTTAAATACTTTTATTAGTAATTTTGGTCTAAAACTTAGACGTAAAGTTTAGCCTTGTCTTTATCGATATAAAAGCACTCATTAAATATTAATTTGGTTTGCTTTTTCTTTATGAACTATTAATGAGTTTTTGAGATGATGAAGAAAACTCGACTTTTTCACAGCCATTAAACCTCTTGTCAGCTTTTTTTTAGGTCCTTTTAAGGACCGAAATGACAGATTTTCCTACTCTTTTATATACTTCAACTAGTGAAATCCCTACCCTTTCGTATACCTTTCATTTAACCATCTCGGGCGGA